TACGCACATGGATCTCAATCTACAGTCACATACGCACATCTCAATCTACAGTCACATACGCACATCTCAATCTACAGTCACATACGCACATCTCAATCTACAGTAACATACGCACATTTCAACCTACAGTCTCATACGCACATCTCAATCTACAGTCACATACGCACATCTCAATCCACAGTCACATACGCACATCTCAATCTACAGTCACATTATACGTGTATTTTGGTGAGGGTTATTGCCCCAAAATCTAAAACGTTATCTGGGACAGAATTATTCGGTCTAGGAGGTATGCAGGCCCTAGCTGCGTGTTTACATCTCAGTCTACAGTCACATACGTAACACTGAGTTTACAGTCACTCACACATCTCAATCTACTGTCACATACGTAGCCTCGTAGGCGCCTACATCTACATACTGTTAACACGTACAACGGTAGGCCTACAATACATAGTACATGCATACACGTCACATGATTATGATACGGCGTGCAAACCCATTCTCACGCACTTGAACATGAAAACCCGTATCTACTCACTCAACGTAATGGAAAGCTCACATGATCACATTGAATGGCACAATTAATTACACTAATAACGATATTATGAGTAATTATTTCAGATTTATCTTGCCTGTGTGCCGATTCGCCTGTGTTGTCTGCTTACATTTGCACAAAAATGGCGCCACACATAATCGTAGAGATGGCAGCACTTACCAATCGCCAATGGCGACCTGGCGAAGGGAAACCTGCTGAAATGTTGTTGTCATTGTGTGAAATGTTGTTTTAGTAACGTTGTGATTGGAAATATAGGCTAGTGACATAGCTTATCGTCTTCGCCACGTTGGAAACCCCCCGGTAAGAGGTAAATGGGCACATTCCTTACGGCGGTTTCGGAGGAGATACGTGAAATGACACGCGGCCGTTACAGTATTACTATATAGATATATAGTATATATATATATATATTCGCACGCACACACGCGCGCGCACGCGCACGCACGTGTGAAACGATGCAGCTCTTTGCAAGACAAGCAGTAACACGCAGAAGCTAATCGTTGCTAGCACAACAATTTAAATGGAACAATCAAAACAATGGGAAAACGTCATTCGCTTCGGTATAGGGGGGTCGCGGACCATGAAGTCCCCAAGCGAATGACGTTTTCCCATTGTTTTGATTGTTTCCTTGAAGAGCACTATGGGATGGGGGCAAAGTCCCGCAAAAAAATTCCCTCATCATGTGATCAATCCATCTCTCAAGATCCATGTATGGTGCACCGCTAATGAGTGTTACAAAATTTTGTAGCCGTTTTTGCTTTGCAATTTCAAATATAAGAATGTAATACATATAATATATGGATATATGCTGTGTGTCATGTATTTTTGATGAGAAGGAAAATCCAGAGATATAGAATACAGAAAGATAGCCAACTCTGTGCCATGTTTGAAAAGGTTAGAGTACAGTTGCGTGCCGGGAGCTCGGGCACAACTTATATACTTCCGTTCGCACGCTCAGCGTATGTTTACATTTGGATGTTTGCTGAATTTGCTATTCTCTATTTTAAATATCTATTGATATGTTTGGTGTTAGTGATTGGGGAACAAATTATGTTGTTGTTAAATGTCACTATAGCAATAGCAGATCAAAAAGCATGAGATTCTATGGAAGTAAACCCTCGGAAATAAAAAAAGAAATATAGTTAGGATGACACCTATGCTGAGACTGAGGGAAGGGGTTGGGAGTGGTGAAGAGGGCTGCTATTAGCTTGCGCTAGGCAATCTTCATTCAATAAGTACACAACACATCTGTTCAAGACACTTCGAATCAGAATGTCTGCAAAATTTGGGTATAATATAAATAAGCTTATTACTAAATCATGTTCTAATCTTAGAGTCAGACGTTTTGTTTACATTCAATGTAACATTGTTAATTGGCCTTTAGTGGTATTTTATTGTTCTTGATAACGATACAAGTTAAACACAATATTATTATTCAAGTTTTATGTATATGTAGGGGGTCATAGCTTCAAATGTAATATTGGGGCTTACAAGGTATTGCAAATAATCACTGTTGGTGGTAGGTGTAAATTGCGTCTTCACATTTCAAGCGTGCCAAAAGGTCGACACAGTTTGGTTTCTTTGGTTCCTGACCAAACGACGACCTACATCGTTCAACTAGATAGTATGGAAAAGTACATTTTAGTATAGTCTAGTGTCAATGCTGTAATAGACAAGTTATTTGCATGAAGCCTGTAATCATAGCATCTTCTAAGTCCAGCCGTGGCGTGTCTGCTAAAGATGATAACTTTTC